ACGCCTTCAATTTCTTGCCAACCGCCATTACAATCCACAAGAAGAAGAACTTCTTCAGTTAGCACTACCAAAATGGAAACGTTTGTGTTATTTAGAGGGAATCGGCGCATTTCATTGAGAGCTAATGATCTGACTGTCAACAAGATCTCTTTAATATTCCATTTCAGAGTGTTTTTCCTCTCTCAAAAAGTTTGATAATCAATGCAGAAAACTGTTCAAGTGCAGCCATTGCCTTTTGTTCAGAAATGGTTTGTTTTGATGCCGTCTTCATCCACTGTAAATGATTTTTCTTTGGCGACTTACTTCATTTCCGGTACCGCTACATATTAAAACAACATCCGTATTTTATTTTCATTTAGATGGCAAAACAAAACTCAAACGCTGTTGATTTTCTATTAATTCGATTTTTTTCTTTTTTTATTTGGGTTTTAAAAAAACGGAAAAACAGTAAAACCACATGCTTGTTTTGTTTTTTCGTTTTTGTTTTGAAACGGAAAAAAACAAAGAACGAACCATACACGGATTTGACGGGGTCGATGGAATTAAATTTCAAAGCTCCCGTATTATGCAGAACTCGCATTATAAACCTTTTGTAACAGTCGTGTGTGTCCTGGAGCGAGGGTATGAGGTTCACAAATGATTATTGCCTTTTGTGGAAAGCCAAAACAGCTCATCCCAAAGAGGGCAGAACGAGGGTGTTTTTGGTAAAGGATGTCTGCCTGATTAGAGAGGAATTTCCCAACACAACCAGCAAAAACATGCTCTGGAAGCCTCATTGTTAATATTTTTCATCTTTAAATGTACCATTTAGCATTGTAGGGACATTTAATCCATGGTAGATCTGCATTCATGTAAACACTTATGAGGATCAAGTCATTCTGAAGGAGGCAAAGTGACCCGAGTGCGTCTGTGGATCTGCTTAAAATCTGCATAAAATGCTAGATTCCCACTGACATGTTTCCATCTGCTCAGTCACGCAGTGGGTAGCAATGCTGCCTTGGAGCAAGAAGACTCCGGGTTCGATTCCTGGCAGGAAGAAGACTCCAGGTTCTAGTCCCAGCCCAGTCTTTCTGCATGGAGTTTGCATGCGTGGGTTCTCTCCGGGTACCCCAGCTTCCTCATGACTGTTAGGCCTCTAAAGTCTGTGTGTGAATCTTTGTGTCTCTGTGATGGGCTGGCGACCTGTCCAGGGTGGACCCCCCCCCTCTCGCCCGTAGACAGCTGGAGAAAGCCACCAGCACCCCTCATGACCCCAGCAGGGATAAAGCATGCCCATTGTTCCCATTATCTTCTTTAAAAATTAAATTCAAGTTACGTCTCAGGCTGAAAACATTCATCGGATTAATTCTGATGAATCAATTATTGAAATAATCTTCAACTAAAATAGTAATCGATTAATTGTTAACTGGATTATAGAAACTCTAAAACATCAGAGCAACCCACTTAGTAATTATACCAGAATTCTAAAAATATATATATAAACATTTTGCATAAAAATTTGTTTGTCAATATGCCCTATCCAGAACTCCAGTGGAAAAGTTACAGTTTCCCCTGGATTAATTTCGTAATAAAAGCTTACTTAATGAACAATTGGCTATCCAATTAATAATCGAAAAAAATAATCAACAGATTAATCGATTTCCAAAATAATCGTAGTTGCAGCCCTAGATCAGTCAGAACGGATGGAGAACCTCTGAGGACATCGGTTTGACAGTAGAAACCAAACAGGTAAATCATCTATGCTTCCAGATGAAAAGGTCAAAGTTGAGATTGGTCTGACCTGGGAACAGACATGTCAGCCATGCGCAGCCACGAGTTCTGCCGAGGGTCGTAGCGGTAAACTTTGGATGAGGCGTGAAACTCTCCGTCGGGCCCCAGCTCCTCTCCGCCCAGCAGGAAGGCAAAGTTGTTGACGATGGCCAAGCAGTCCGGCCTGAGCGGCACCTGAGGACCCTCCAGCTCCCACCACACCTGAGAAACAGAAGCTGCAACGGTTACCAACAGAACTGCCTCTCTGGAACAAAGAGACTCACTGCATCATTCGAACATGTTAATACAGGTGCAGCACGGCACCACAGTCAGAACAACTACTGATAAGAACTACTGTAAAGAACCAGAAGGAGCCAAACGAAGGCGGAGTCAGCCACCTTGGGACGCTGCAGCAGCAGGATCTTGCTGTTCACCATGCTGTGGCCGATCATCCCCCTGAAGACGGCGGTCTGCGGGCGGACGGAGCGGATGCGGTTGGATCGTGTCTCCATCAGAGGCTGCTGGTTGACATCATGGAAGTAGCTGAGCGCCTGATCCACTTCCTGCCGCAGCTGCCTGGAATACCGGTAGAACTCTGATGTTTTCACCTGAGGAGAAAGAATCAGTATCAGCTGGTGGAGTTTGGAAGCTGAGACAAAAGAATTTATTGCANTCATCTTTAAATGTACCATTTAGCATTGTAGGGACATTTAATCCATGGTAGATCTGCATTCATGTAAACACTTATGAGGATCAAGTCATTCTGAAGGAGGCAAAGTGACCCGAGTGCGTCTGTGGATCTGCTTAAAATCTGCATAAAATGCTAGATTCCCACTGACATGTTTCCATCTGCTCAGTCACGCAGTGGGTAGCAATGCTGCCTTGGAGCAAGAAGACTCCGGGTTCGATTCCTGGCAGGAAGAAGACTCCAGGTTCTAGTCCCAGCCCAGTCTTTCTGCATGGAGTTTGCATGCGTGGGTTCTCTCCGGGTACCCCAGCTTCCTCATGACTGTTAGGCCTCTAAAGTCTGTGTGTGAATCTTTGTGTCTCTGTGATGGGCTGGCGACCTGTCCAGGGTGGACCCCCCCCCTCTCGCCCGTAGACAGCTGGAGAAAGCCACCAGCACCCCTCATGACCCCAGCAGGGATAAAGCATGCCCATTGTTCCCATTATCTTCTTTAAAAATTAAATTCAAGTTACGTCTCAGGCTGAAAACATTCATCGGATTAATTCTGATGAATCAATTATTGAAATAATCTTCAACTAAAATAGTAATCGATTAATTGTTAACTGGATTATAGAAACTCTAAAACATCAGAGCAACCCACTTAGTAATTATACCAGAATTCTAAAAATATATATATAAACATTTTGCATAAAAATTTGTTTGTCAATATGCCCTATCCAGAACTCCAGTGGAAAAGTTACAGTTTCCCCTGGATTAATTTCGTAATAAAAGCTTACTTAATGAACAATTGGCTATCCAATTAATAATCGAAAAAAATAATCAACAGATTAATCGATTTCCAAAATAATCGTAGTTGCAGCCCTAGATCAGTCAGAACGGATGGAGAACCTCTGAGGACATCGGTTTGACAGTAGAAACCAAACAGGTAAATCATCTATGCTTCCAGATGAAAAGGTCAAAGTTGAGATTGGTCTGACCTGGGAACAGACATGTCAGCCATGCGCAGCCACGAGTTCTGCCGAGGGTCGTAGCGGTAAACTTTGGATGAGGCGTGAAACTCTCCGTCGGGCCCCAGCTCCTCTCCGCCCAGCAGGAAGGCAAAGTTGTTGACGATGGCCAAGCAGTCCGGCCTGAGCGGCACCTGAGGACCCTCCAGCTCCCACCACACCTGAGAAACAGAAGCTGCAACGGTTACCAACAGAACTGCCTCTCTGGAACAAAGAGACTCACTGCATCATTCGAACATGTTAATACAGGTGCAGCACGGCACCACAGTCAGAACAACTACTGATAAGAACTACTGTAAAGAACCAGAAGGAGCCAAACGAAGGCGGAGTCAGCCACCTTGGGACGCTGCAGCAGCAGGATCTTGCTGTTCACCATGCTGTGGCCGATCATCCCCCTGAAGACGGCGGTCTGCGGGCGGACGGAGCGGATGCGGTTGGATCGTGTCTCCATCAGAGGCTGCTGGTTGACATCATGGAAGTAGCTGAGCGCCTGATCCACTTCCTGCCGCAGCTGCCTGGAATACCGGTAGAACTCTGATGTTTTCACCTGAGGAGAAAGAATCAGTATCAGCTGGTGGAGTTTGGAAGCTGAGACAAAAGAATTTATTGCAGGAAAAAAGGTTAAAATGTATTTAACGTCCTCAGAGGGAGAGATGGAGCTCTGACTGAGGCAACCTCAGTACTAACATTTATATCTTACAAAATCCCAACACACACTCCCCCCAGGGGAAGCAACCCACCCCCTGCATAAAGAACTTTCTCACATTGGAGGAAAAACATGAGTTCATCAAGGCCGTTCGCTGTTAGGTTAATATATCTTTCACTGGCCAGATGGATCTTCTCTAAACATCAGTCCTCTCCTTCACACCATGAAGGAAGCTGTGTGACTCTTTCTTATCTCTCATGACCTTCGTTTGGAGCCTGTGAGGCTAAGAACAGACATACCTCAACCTTTTTTACTCCAAAAGCTCCACCTATAGCCACCGCCCTACTGTTTCCTGATAAGCAAACACCAACTACTCACCAGTAGTCCCATCAACTCCTGCGGCTACAACTAGAGAACATTATGGGCAAGAAGGGAGGGTCTCACCTTCTCAAAGATGTCCGCAGGCGTCATGAGACAGAAGCGGATGGACTGCACAATGGTGTCCGTGTGCCTCCAGCGCCGCCGGTCGTGTCTCAGCCACCCCTGGACCGCCTCGTACAGCTCGATTTCTGGGTAGCGGCTCAGAGCGTCGCTGTTCAGGTAGGCCTGGTTCACCAAGACAGAACAGACAGATGTATCATCTACCCCTGAACTGGTTTAAAATGGTGATAAACACAAAGAGGCATACTAATCAAAAACTTGCTGTTTTGATAAAGTTTATAGTTAAAAACAGGGTAATGTTTGCTTAGTGTCTGAGTGAGTAGAGGAGGTAGGCCGAGGTACAGTAAACAGCCCTGATACGGTGGGAGAGAATATAGTCCAGACAAACATTTCTCCTTAACTCAAACCTTCTTATACCCCATTCAAAATAGTTGGGTTATCCTGAACTATTTCCTATATTTATGCTGCTATACATTTAGATTGCTGGAGGACATAGCGACCACCTTTCATTATTTTGCTACATTCTATCTACTTAATTCAATCTTTGTTAGTTTATTCTTTTCTCGTCACAGTAGCTTCATTTGGTCTGTTCCTGTGTGACCATGAACCATCCTGGAGAGAAATACCAGGGTCTGTTTCAATAAGCATGTAAAAAAAATTCTCAGATTAAATCCTCAACTCTAAATTGGTCTAGCCTAAGGTTGGAAACTCTGAGTTCTGGTATTCACAATGGCTGCTGTGATTTAGTTCAGTCCACTCAGAGTTGAACACTTGCGTAACAATTATGAAAAGCCATTATCAGTGGCTTTGAAATCCTCTATGGCAGGCAGTTTTAATATTTATTAGAAGCACTCTCCTCTCTCTCCATTTCTACTTCAGGAAAATTGGATTCTTCGGGGTAAGAATCACATTCCTATATGATTTTCTAAACTACATTGCTGCAGCAGAAACTGCATTTCAGAAAGTAAAAAAAGCAAAATTATACTAGTAAGAATTAAGTTTTATATATCTGGATATGTTTACACATTATAAGTGGCTGTTTTAATATTTCTCAGCTTGAATGAATATGTATTTATGATATCTAAAATACAATTTTTCATAGTCAAAATATAAAATTGTCATTTTTATAATTAATAAATGTATAAATGTTTTGGGTTTTTTTCCAGATATCAGAAATACATATTCAGTTAAATTGATAGCAATCAAAACGACCTGCCATAAGCTTTTTGTGACCATGATAACATTACAGGCAAAACTAGTTTAGTGCTTGAATGGTAGTGGATCCATCTATATGAGTGAAATCATCTATCAGCAGGTGAATATAGAGCATAAAACATTGTTCTAATGGATAGAACCTGTGTATCATCTCATGGGGTTCCTCCTCATGTTAATTCTGACTTCCATCACACACTAAATACTAATTGGCTGTGAAGGCACAGTAGGTTGGCGCACACGACCCATACATTGAATCCCACCTGTGGTCTTTTGCTGCATGTCTCTCCCCCTCTCTCATAACCCCTTTCCTGTCAGACTACTGTCCATAAAATTGAAAAATGAAAAAAAAAGACTTTTAAAGCTATGGATTCCTTCACTCTGTTGTTTAAACAGCCAAACATGTTTGATAGATGTGAGGAAAAAGACTTCATCAGAGAGATGAAGGTTACAGAACAAACGCATGGATCATGTTTCATGTTAAGCTATCAAACCTGGAGTCTCTCCAGACTGAGGTAGGACAGGAAGTCGGATCGGCTCATGAGAGGGACAAAGTTGTCAAGGAGGAAGTTGTCGAGCTGCTCCTGGACGCCCTCCACGCCGACGCTAAAGTCCTCCAGGAGGCGCATGACCTCAGCACAGTTCTCCAGACAGATCTTAGCCAGCAGGAAGGAGCAGCAGAACTCCACCGCCTCCGTCAGCTGGACGTACATGGCCGCCTGCAGGCACAGCATGAGTTTTTCCTCAGTCAGCACTGAGATAGAGTTTCGCCTCAACACGGATCAACAGAGAGGCGACGGTACCTGCAAGATCTCCTGGACGGTGGGCATGCTGAGCTCCAGAGAGCCGTAGTACATGAATCGGAGAATGTGGCCGAAGCCGGCGGCTGTCAGCCCTTTCATGTGGATCTTATCCTGGTCCCGCTCCCTCATGTCGGCCGTGAACATGACCCGGAAATAGTCGCTCTGCGTGGCCAGCAGCGCCTTGTGGGCCTGTCGGTGGAGTCAATACATCTTATTTAACTCAAAGACGTGTCCTCCAAAGAAACTAATGCATTTGAATTCAGTTAGAATCCAACTAAGTATTGTCATTTTCAGGAAAAGAATTACCATCTTCTTTTTTGTTTATCTGTAATAAACAGTAGCATCTCTTTTTATTCCTATATAGTCACAATATGCAGTCTAAAGCAGGCATCCCTAAAGTCGGTCCTCGAGGGCCGCTGTCCTGCAGGTTTTAGAGGTTCCTCTGCTTTAGAACAGCTGATTCTGATGATTGTAGTTCAGCAAAAGCCATAAAACCTGCAGGACAGCGGCCCTCGAGGACCGACTTTGGGGATGCCTGCTCTAAAGTCTGTTTAAAAGATGGCTAAGTTGTTTACAGTAATTAATGCTAATAGTGCTAACTGTACATATTGCTAAAATGGGATGCTTAAGTTCAATGAAAACTTCCCCATTATGTTGTCCTAGTCTTTCAAAATATAAGTAATAACTTGCTTTACAGCAAATCGTCTCAAACAAATTGTGAGGACACCTCTGTAGCTAATATAAAAAATAAATTACCGTAAGTAAAACATCAGAGCTGGAAAAATATGTATAAGTGTTGTTAATATAATTGGTGAAGATAAATATAATCTGAACAAATCTATATCAGCAAAGAAATCAGTTAATCAAACTGATTAGTGCATCTCTAAAGTCTCTTCAGGGAATGACTGCTGCACCTATGGTGCACAAAGCAGCTCTGTCACAGATCCTTCCTCCCTGCTGCTGTTATGCTACGATTCCTAGTGACAGCGCACCGCCGGTATGTTGGGGTCTGAGCGGCTCCAATAGCTAAATAATATTAGAAGGCAGGATGGTAATCTGGATGATTTGACTGCACTGATTAAGTTTTCAGGCAGACTTTCTCACTGAGAAACATATTAAAACTAGTTTTTACCCACTGATCACAGCAAATATAGCCGCCATTGTTAGAGGGAAAGAAAGGATAGGG